AACTTGGCACAAAATAACAATTATTGAGGTTCAAAACTAATCCCGTAGGTAAATGTAGAGGTAGCGTGCCGACGGCGATCACATCGACCTTGGAACCATTCCCGACGCGCATCGTCACCTCGTCCTTTGCCAGTCTCCGTTTATTCCGCAGCTCCTGCTGTGTGTTACAAATATGAGCAACGGCACCGGTATCAAATACCCAGGAGTTACTACGATTACTGGTAAGGTACACATCAATTACATGTATATCAAATATACCTTTGGTTTTGCCGGCCTTCTTGTCCGCTAAGTATTTGGGGCAGTTCCGCTTCCAGTGACCACTTTCCTTGCAATAAAAGCACTCAGTCTCAGGCTTGGGTCGATTCTTTGGCTTCTTCCCGGCAGCTTGCTTGCTGGGCACGACAACTACCTTGCCATCCTTCTTGAAGTTCTTTTTACCCTTGCCCTTCTTGAACTTAGTGGTTTTATTGACCATCAACACTTGATGTTCCTTCTTGACTTCTACCTCTGCTGATTTCAGCATAGCAAATACTTCAGGAATGGTCTTTTCCATCCCCTGCATATTGAAGTTCATCACAAAGCTCTTGTAGCTTGGTGGAAGCGACTGGAGGATTCTGTCAATGACCGCATCATCCGGGAGATTAACTCCCAGCTGAGTCAAGCGGTTATGTAACCCAGACATAGTGAGTATGTGCTCACTGACAGAACTATTTTCCTCCATCTTACAGCTGAAGAATTTGTCGGAGACTTCATATCTCTCGACCCGGGCATGAGCTTGGAAAACCATTTTCAGCTCTTCGAACATCTCATATGCTCCATGTCTCTCAAAACGCTTTTGGAGCCCCGGCTCTAGGCTGTAAAGCATGCCGCACTGAACGAGGGAGTAGTCATCGGAACGTGCCTGCCAAGCGTTCATAACGTCTTGTTCTGCAGGGAGAATAGGTGCGTCACCTAGCGGTGCTTGTAGGACATAATCTTTCTTGGCAGCTATGAGGATGATCCTCAGGTTCCGGACCCAGTCCGTATAGTTGCTGCCATCGTCTTTCAGCTTGGTTTTCTCTAGGAACGCGTTGAAGTTGAGGACTACATTGGCCATTTGATCTACAAGACATATTGTGAAATATTTAGACTAAGTTCATGATAATTAAGTTCATCTAATCAAATTATAATGAACTCCCACTCAGATTTGACATCCCTTTGGTCATCTAAGTGTTACACGATCCGAGTCGACTAGGCCGTGTCCAATCATCACGTGAGACGGACTAGTCATCGTCGGTGAACATTCTCATGTTGATCGTATCTTCCATACGACTCGTGTTCGACCTTTCGGTCTCCGTGTTCCGAGGCCATGTCTGTACATGCTAGGCTCGTCAAGTTAACCCTAAGTGTTTTCGCTGTGTAAAACTGTCTTACACCCGTTGTATGTGAACGTAAGAATCTATCACACCCGATCATCACGTGGTGCTTCGAAGCGACGAACTGTAGCAACGGTGCACAGTTAGGGGAGAACACTTCTTGAAATTTTTTGTAAGGGATCATCTTATTTACTACCGTCGTCCTAAGTAAACAAGATGCATAAAACATAATAAACATCACATGCAATTATATAAAGTAGTGACATGATATGGCCAATATCATATAGCTCCTTTGATCTTCATCTTCGGGGCTCCATGATCATCTTGTCACCGGCATGACACCATGATCTCCATCATCATGATCTCCATCATCGTATCTTCATGAAGTTGTCACGCCAACGACTACTTCTACTTCTATGACTAACGCGTTTAGTAATAAAGTAAAGTAGTTTACATGGCGTTCTTCAATGACACGCATGTCATACAAAAAATAAAGACAACTCCTATGGCTCCTGCCGGTTGTCATACTCATCGACATGCAAGTCGTGATTCCTATTACAATAGCATGAACATCTCATACATGACATATAGATCATTCATCATTCATCACAACTTTGGTCATATCATATCACAAAGCACTTGCTGCAAAAACAAGTTAGACGTCCTCTAATTGTTGTTGCATGTTTTACGTGGCTGAAGTAGGGTTCTAGCAAGAACGTTTACCTACGTGAAACCACAACGTGATTTGTCAACTTCTATTTACCCTTCATAAGGACCCTTTTCATCGAATCCGCTTCAACTAAAGTAGGAGAGACAGACACCCGCCAGCCACCTTATGCAACTAGTGCATGTTAGTCGGTGGAACAGGTCTCACGTAAGCGTACGTGTAAGGTTGGTCTGGGCCGCTTCATTCCACAATACCGCTGAAGCAAGATAAGACTAGTAGCGGCAAGAAAGTTGACAAATCTACGCCTACAACAAATTGTGTTCTACTCATGCAAGAGAACTACGCATAGACCTAGCTCATGATGCCACTGTTGGGGAACGTTGCAGAAAACAAAAATTTTCCTACGGTTTCACCAAGATCCATCTATGAGTTCATCTAGCAACGAGTCATTAGATGCATCTACGTACCTTGTAGATCGCGAGCGGAAGCGTTCAAAGAACGGGGATGATGTAGTCGAACACGACGTGATTCGAATCACCGGAGATCCTAGCACCGAACGAACGGCACCTCCGCGTTCAACACACGTACGGAACAGCCACATCTCCTCCTTCTTGATCCAGCAAGGGAGGGAGGAGAGGTTGAGGGAGATGGCACCAGCAGCAGCACGACAGCGTGGTGTTGATGGAGCTGCAGTACTCCGGCAGAGCTTCGCTAAGCACTATGGAGGAGGAGGAGGTGTTGGAGAGGGAGAAGGAGGCAACCAAAGGCCAAGGTATGAAGTCCCTCCTCTCCCCCACTATATATAGGAGGGCCAAGGGGGGTTGGCCGGCCCTAGGAGATCCAATCTCCTAGGGGGGGTGCGGCCAAGGGGGGTTTCCCTCCCCCCCCCCAAGGCACCTAGGAGGTGCCTTCCCCTCCTAGGACTCTTCCCCCCTCAAACCCTAGGCGCATGGGCCTATGTGGGGATGGTGCCCTTGGCCCATGTAGGCCAAGGCGCACCCCCTACAGCCCATGTGCCCCCCCGGGACAGGTGGACCCACCCGGTGGACCCCCGGGACCCTTCCGGTGGTCCCGGTACAATACCGATAACCCCGAAACTTGTCCCGATGCCCGAAACAGGACTTCTCATATATAAATCTTTACCTCCGGACCATTCCGGAACTCCTCGTGACGTCCGGGATCTCATCCGGGACTCCGAACAACATTCGGGTTTCTGCATATACATATCCCTACAACCCTAGCGTAACCGAACCTTAAGTGTGTAGACCCTACGGGTTCGGGAGACATGTAGGCATGACCGAGATCGCTCTCCGGTCAATAACCAACAGCGGGATCTGGATACCCATGTTGGCTCCCACATGCTCCACGATGATCTCATCGGATGAACCACGATGTCGAGGATTTAATCAACCCCGTATGCAATTCCCTTTGTCAATCGATATGTTACTTGCCCGAGATTCGATCGTCGGTATCCCAATACCTCGTTCAATCTCGTTACCGGCAAGTCACTTTACTCGTACCGTAATGCATGATCCCATGACCAGACACTTGGTCACTTTGAGCTCATTATGATGATGCATTACCGACTGGGCCCAGTGATATCTCTCCGTCATACGGAGTGACAAATCCCAGTCTCGATCCGTGTCAACCCAACAGACACTTTCGGAGATACCTGTAATGCACCTTTATAGTCACCCAGTTACGTTGTGACGTTTGATACACCCAAAGCACTCCTACGGTATCCGGGAGTTACACGATCTCATGGTCAAAGGAAAAGATACTTGACATTAGAAAAGCTCTAGCAAACGAACTACACGATCTCACGCTATGCTTAAGATTGGGTCTTGTCCATCACATCATTATCCTAATGATGTGATCCCGTTATCAATGACATCCAATGTCCATAGCCAGGAAACCATGACTATCTATTGATCAACGAGCTAGTCAACTAGAGGCTTACTAGGGACATGTTGGTGTCTGTTATTCACACATGTATTACGATTTCCGGATAATACAATTATAGCATGAATAAAGACAATTATCATGAACAAAGAAATATAATAATAATGCTTTTATTATTGCCTCTACGGCATATTTCCAACAAAAAATTGTAATCAAAGGATGATTATTGTGCACAATTCGATGTGATTTAAATGCAGACATGCATGCATCTCCAAAATAACTAAATATGCGTGTACAAAAAAATTTAGCAATTTCTGTTGCAATATTAAAAATCCCAAAGACAAACTTCAAAAAAATTATCAATTATGTTTCCAAAGTCTGAGTACTACGAATGCATTTTCGCTAATATGAATTTCTCGATGAAAAAAGTTGTTTTGGCAGTTTGAAATATTCCAAATGCCCTAAAGTACCAACACTTTGTAATATTAACTCTTTTTTAGTGTACCTTTTGTTGTACAGGGCAGGGGGCTGCTTTAAATGATTACACCAGCATGTTGAAATATTGTTTTTCCTTTGTACAAAAGGTTGTGATATATTTTGTGACCTCTACAGCTTCAATCGTGATTCACGGTAGCAGCAGTAGGTTCGAGTCCTCGGATGAACCCATGGATTATGAACACGAGTCCTTCATGAGGTTAATAAATTATATATGCCCCTTTTTTTCCTCAAGAAGGTGTGTTTTCTACTCACACTAGGCTCGCTATGCCAATGTTTTAGGAACTCGGAGTGCCGTGGTATAGGAATGCCTAGAGATCTGAATCAGACAGATGTTGGCCATTGCACGAGGTACCCGAATCTCAGGTTTATCCTTTTGTGATACATATATGCCGTTTGAGATTTCAAGAATAAGATCACTGTCATTTTAGAAAGCCCATAGAAGTATTTAATTTGCTTGCATCACATCTAACTTATCGTATTTATGCTGTTATTAGCATCATTTGATCACAAAATATATGTTTCTCATCGTCTCATGGGTTGTCAACAGGGAGAAAGGAAGTGTTCACACTCTCGTCACCATGGATTTAACGGATATTACTACTGTCACTATTGGCATCAATGAGTATGTCAATCTTTTTCAGTGGGCTAGATATGCTATTTCATCCAAATGGAGAGGCACTCAGGAGCAAGGGTTTCAAAATAAATTATATAACTTGCAGAGTGTCTTGCAACGCCTCAGTGACAGTCTTCCAGCAATGTATGACCTCATTAATCGAGTGGAGTGGAGAAGCCACATAGTTGGCGTGGCTGAGTTCCTTCCAAAACTCAAGGATGCAGTCTATGATGTTGAAGACCTTCTTGACGAGCTCAGATGGTACAACCATAAGGTGATAGTGGAGGGCAATTCAAGCCAATCATCTATTACTGACTTCTTTAACAGCTTCATCAATGTGAATGATATCCATGAAAGGCTAGATCACATTTCCAATCGCCTAGATAAGATGGGGTTGGGTGAACTGACACCACGGTTTGACAGAACAGTCAGGCCAGAGACTAGCTCTTTCCCCAATGAAACAAAAATATTTGGTCGTGACATGGAGCTAAAGCAGATATTGAGAGTGCTCGGTGTGCCTACACATAGTCATTCGAAAAACAAGTGGGAAAGTCGTGCTAATAAATCAAGATTACCCAATCTTCCAGTTTCATCGATAGTTGGAATTGGGGGTGTTGGAAAGACCACTCTGGCCCAACATATATGTAGTCATCCACAAGTGAAGTCTCACTATGACACAGTAATTTGGATTTGCGTCTCAGATGATTTCGATGAGAAGAGGCTAACTAAAGAGGCTATAGAATCATGTCCCGATAAAGAGGCAACAACTAACAATCTGAATTCTCTTCAGCTTGCTCTTTCTAATGTATTGCACAACAGAAAGTTCTTGATTGTCCTTGATGATATGTGGGATGATGCTTTGAAAGAAAATGGTCAGTGCTGGAAGAGGTTTTGTGCACCTTTCAGAAATGTGCTACAAGGAAGTATGATGTTAGTCACCACTAGATCTCGAAAAGTTGCTGATTTAGTACGCACAATGGAGCCAATTATATTAGAGGGTTTAAAGGATGATGAATTTTGGAATTTCTTCAAACTATGTGTGTTTGGATCTGAGAGTTCCAATGATTTTCCAGAGTTGGATCTCATTGGTAGAAAGATACTTCCTAAATTGAAGGGCTCTCCTTTAGCGGCTAGAACTCTTGGACGTATGTTACGGGATGACCTTCGTACATCACATTGGAATAATATACTAGACAGTGAATTGTGGGAGTTGGACCAAGAGAGGACTGAAATTGTGCCAGCTCTACGGTTGAGCTACATATATTTACCATTCCACTTGAAGAGATGTTTTTCATTTTGTGCTATGTATCCCAAAGATAAGGAGTTTGAAAAGGACAACATAGCGGAAATTTGGGCGGCAGAAGGCTTTGTGAAATGTCAAGGTGTTGTTCCACTTCAACATATTGGCTGTCAATACTTTAATGACCTTTTAAATCGGTCCTTCTTTCAAGAAGTTCAAGGAAAATACTTAATCCATGACTTGTTGCATGATATGGCACAAAAAGTTTCCGAGGATGATTGTTTCATTGTGAAAAGGGCGTCTGACTTCAAAAGGATTCCTCAGAATGTCCGGCATTTGTCAGTACTCAATGGCAAAGGCAAATACAATTTTGACTTGTCGAGCCTATGCCAGTACAAAAAGCTGCGTACCCTTCTTTGCAACAAACCTTTGGGAAATAAAAAAACCTCAGGTCGTTTGGTGGGAGATTGGTGCAATGAACTTCTGCGTATGCGTGTGATTGTTTGTGCATCTTTGAATGAGTTACCAGCTAGCATTGGCAAACTGAAGCATCTTCGATACCTTGAGATATCAAGATCTTGTTATGTCACCAGTTTTCCTACAACATTATGTAGGCTCCATAATTTACATGTTTTATGTGTCAAGAAATGCCAGGTAGAAAGCTTGCCTAGTGACTTCAATAGGTTGATCAACTTATGGAGATTTGAATCACAGGGATTTAAATATGGTCCAAATATTAGAGGATTTCCAGAAGAATATTATGGAGTACATATTGATGCAGCCGAAGATAAGTGTGGACTAGGATGTAGGTTGATAAAGAATATGAAGCAACTTCGTGGGCATTTGGCGATAACTGATGTTTACAACCTAAGCAAGTATCATTCAGCAGAAGCCAAACTAAAGAATAAGGAATGTTTTGACAAGATGACGCTGCATTGGGGACATCTGGGTAGAATATTCTTTGCCACTTTAGAGGAAAACGATATAGAAGTCCTTGCAGATCTACAACCTCCTGCTAGTATCAAGTCTCTAGTCCTTGACGGGTATCCAGGTGTTGCCCCTCCGAGCTGGTTTGAGCCACAAAGCCTGTCAAGCTTAACATCCGTTTCATTTGTTTGTTGTAATGGACTCGAGATACTTAGCAGCACTGGTTTCTCGTCCCTGACAGATCTAATCATTGATCGTTGCAACCATTTATCAAGTCTCGAACAGCTTCTCCATCCAACTTATCTGCCAGCTATCAAGAAAATTGCAATAATGAGTTGCTGGAACTTAATAACAGTAGGGACCGAAAGATTTGGGGATTTTCATTGCCTTGAAATATTCAAGCTGATGAATTGTAGAAACATAAACTCCGAGAGTTTGACTTCCCCATCTCTCAAGAAGCTCGTGCTAGATGGTAGCTGTGGGAATCTCACAGACAATATCCAATGCCGCTCTCTCACCAACTTTTACCTGACACACGGCAGTCTCACGTCCATCCAACTACATATGTGGAATCTTCCTGCTCTACAGGAATTGCATATTAAAAATTGTGAATCTCTTACATCTATTGGAGAAGCTGGACAGGTCTTCCCCAACCTCACTTCCCTAACAATCAGTTACTGCGTAAAACTGTCAACCATTCAGAGTATTCCATTTACCTCTCTACAAGAATTGCGCATTTCATATTGCAAATCCCTTAAATCTATTCGACAAAGTGAACAGGTCTTCAACAACCTTATTTCCCTAACCATCAGCAGCAGCAACGAACTGTCCAACATTGATGGTTTCCTAGAAATAGAATATCTACCTGCCATTGAGAGTATTACATTTCACTGCTGTCCAAAATTGTTCATGTACGGTAAAAGGTTTGGGGATTTTTCTTCTCTGAAGAATTTGGAAATTTCTTATTGCAAGGGTATCAACTGGGAGGGATTGGTGTTATTACCATCGTCCCTCCAAAGTCTCCACTTAGAAGACTGTGGGGATATCTCTGTATTTATTCCCAGATGCTTAGAAAACCTCCAATCCTTGGTTTCACTAAAAATATTATGGTGTTCGCATATAAGATCCATTCCAGGCCACCTTTGGAGCAGTACTCTCTCATCACTCCAGGAATTACAGATTTACTATTGTTCAAACATTGTTTCTATTGGTGGAGCAGATGACATTTCAGAAATACAAAATGTGTTGATTGAGAGCTGTTACTGTTTGAGGGGTATAGAGCAGCCCATGAAAAGAGGCAGCTTCTTGATATCCAAGAAGCAGGAGCAGCCTGTGAAAACAAGGTACGTGTGTTTACACCAAGTCTTTTGCCCAGTGCACTCATACTTTATGCACCCTTCTTGCATACAATTAAACGTCTATGCGGCGATATTTTTCTGATACCATACCTGCTGGTAGCTGAGTTTCCAAAAACCTCATTGTGCGTACGGCCTTTTGACAAAATGTTAATTGTCATTGCAGCATGCAGTCTCGTTTATTTTGTTTTCTACTACTCAGTACACTTTCTGATCGTTGCTTTCTGTCATGTAGCTCAAATTCGGTCTGGTGTATGCCCACGAGGGATTGGTGAAGGGAGTGGTGCTAGCTAGTGCGGCTAATACCTCAACCGCTGTAATCTTCTGCTGATTGTTGCTTTGTACTGTACTGCTTTATATGTTCAGAGTTGATTGGCATTTGGCAGTGTTTTTTTTGTCCATAGGTTATGCTCATGCAGAGATGTAGAATTCACGAACCTTTTCTTTTTTCTGGGTAATGTTGCCGAGTATAAGCAGTTCTCAGTTGATTCTGTTAATAATTTAATCAGAATATGTATGCTATATTGTTACTTGTGTCGGAAGTGTTCTATACGTTCAATCTCTTGTCAAGCCTACCAGTTTTAATTCTGAACAACTTGTTGATGTCAGAATGACAGTTTTAGTACTGAATAACTTGGTGACTACGAAATGGTAGAAGTAATTATATTAGATGATTGATCATGAATCCTTCATTTCGTGCTGGGTTGACCAGAAGACTGCTAGTATTTATCATGAATCCTGCCCATTCTGAATAACTTTTTGACTAAAAATTGAATCCCCTGTGTTAGATATAAATGGATCGCCTAAGTTTTAAAGGAGGAGTACTAGTAGGAATAGAACTGAATCCTTCACAGAGGTTTGTTCGAACTTAATTAGCACTTTACTTTTCCGTTCTGGCCATCTCAGACTGAAACTAACCTCAGACAAAGAACCAAAGAGGCGTAATAGTCAACCACGATCAGTGTGTATTCCGTAATACAGTATCAACCTACATGAGTACTAAACTAGCCTCAGACAAAGAACAAATCAGTTTGCTGCAACAGCGTTGTCATGCCCCCAGCTCCTGGTGCATCAACAGACAATGCACTGATGGGCCAAAGCTAGCTGGGCCAGTTCAGCTCGAGGGAACACTCAGACCCAGGAAGCCGAATACCTGGAACTGAGGGTGACCCCTATCACTAACGAGATTTGGTGGGAGGGACATTTCCGCGCGGCAGTTCCCGCTCTCCCTTCCGTCCGCCATCATTGTTCTTCCTCCGCCCGCTCCGGACCACCATCCCCGGCTCTGTAGCGTCACCATCTACGCCTCCCAGTCGGCACCCGTCGCCGTGGAAGTCATGGACCCGCCAACCCCTCAAGCATATCTCGTCGTCGGCCGTGTCATGCCAATCGCCGTTCAAGCCTCCCCCCATCCCCGCAAGCGCCAGGGCAACATCGTTTTCTAGAGCGGCGCTCCCGCAGCCGCTGCCGGGAAGGCACGCCCGCCCGCCGCCGCTGCCGCTGCGAATCTGGTGCAGGCCATCCCCACCCCACCGGTGAAGATGCGCAAGGTGGCGGGGGTGAAACGCAGGAAGGTGGCCACAAAAGGTCCGATCGCCATCCCAAAAGCTCCATCGAGGATGCCCGCCGACGACGCTGCTGCCGCCGCCCCCGAGGTGTTCGACGGAATGGGCGCAAGGTATGAATCTTTGACTTTCTTGTAGTTGTTTTTACTTTTCGCCATTGCGATTGTCACGGTGAGGAAGAATATGTTCAACCAAGCACAAGCAAAAGTGCACGCGAGATCGAAGAACTACACGCAATTGGAAGATCGAGTCTTGATGAAGGCTTGGGAATCTGTGTCTCTTGATGCGTGCACCGGCATTGACCAAACTGCCAAGCGGTATTGGCAAAGGATAGAGCACCAATTCTTCCGAATGATGGCAAAGTATCCCTCGAGGACGCCCCACACCTATCGGTCACTCCAAGGTCGTTGGAATGTGATCGAGCCGATTTGTAGCCGTTTGAGTGGTTGCTTGCAGCAAGTCCGCAATGCACCTCCAAGTTGTACCGTTGAAGCCAATTATGTGAGTTTGTTTTCACGTCCCAAGTAGTACAAAATGATTATGTGAGTTGTTGCATGTGACATACTTTGACATTGTCTTCATTTTGTAGCCCAAAATTGCACAAGAAAGGTACAAGGACATGGAAGCTTCCAATGGCAAGTCATTTACGCTAGAGCATTGTTGGGAATTGCTTCAAAATAGTGAGAAGTGAAAGTTGATTGACAAAAAATCCCCATCGAAAAGAGGTTCACTCACCAAGTTTTATGATGATGATGAAGATGACAATGGCCCAATAAACAAGAACAAGCCTGATGGAAACAAGAAGGTCAAGGACAAGATCAAGAGGGAAGCGAAGACATCAAGCTTGCGGGACAAGATAGATGCCATGGTGCAATCAAATGAGTTGATGGTGGCCAAGACATTGGAGGCAAAGAAGTAGTTGGCCGACAAGAAGGCACAAGAGAAGCAAAAAAAAAGTGGCAATTACTCAAGGAAGAGGGGTTGCACAAGGCCACCATTGAGGAGAGAAGAGCCCTTGCCGAGGAGAACAAGGCCTTGGCCAAGCTTCTTCAAGAGGAGAACCAGATCATGACGATGAACCGCAATGACATGGACGACATCACCAAAAAATGATATAATATTGCAAGGTGGGAGATCTTGGAGAGAAGGAAGCAAGCGGCGATGGGTGGTGGCTTCCGTGCCGGTTGTGGCTTCAGTCGCGGTGGTGGCTTCGGTGCCGGTGGTGGAGAGTGATGATGATGATGATGGTCATGGAGGTGGTGGTGGCTTTTCCATCAGTGGTGGTGGTGTAGAGTGATGATGATGGTCATGGAGATGGTGGTGGCTTTTGCATGAAGTTCTTTTGGCTCATTGTTCGAATTTGTAGCCATTCATCGGAATTGCGGTCAAATTGTTTACTTTGTTTTTTCGGTTTGAAGGCTCATGCGGGCTGCGGCGGAACAGACCCCGCAAAGCCGCAGCCCACATGAGCCCTCAAACCATGTTTTCCGCGGTCCTTATAATCACTTTAAAGGTCTGGTAGAGATGCTCTAACTAACCTACCTGGGGCCTGGGAGGAGATCGGAATGGATTGACCAGAACCTGAATCCCCTTCCTCATTTTCGTCTGTCTCCTACCTCATGCTGCTCTTCCCCATCTCAAATTCCTCACTAGCTTGTAAAACTATGCACTGGTGATGAAATATAGCTACTGGAGTGTTCCAAGCTACAGCTAGCCGTGAGCTTATGGTTTATCTTCTTCGCAGACACTGTCCCGCTTGTTCAGCTTCACATGCTTCCATTGCCTGCTCAACCAATGATCTCAATAGCTTCCACCACCTCTGGTTTGACATTATTACGGTCATAATGATTCAAGACAATTTGCAGTCCTTGACTCATTGGGAGGCAGTCCTCTCTTCAGTCAGCTGTGATTTTTCTTAGGCACTAAACTTGGCATGCAATTCTGTATGCCCCACATTACCTCCATCTCTGTTGGGGCATACAGGCAGGTTATTTGCTGTACAGACATGTCTGAGCGAACTTAGCACATGTTTCCTCGAGGAGACAAAGATTAAAAAAACAGAGAATTAGGTAGTCAAATAAAACGACGAGAGCGACAAAACAGTCATATGATCAAACCGCTAGGGAATTTGGTTGGCAAATGAGCGATGCACAAAAATAGAAAAGCCTGAAGCCCGCGGGAGTCTCAAACAGCACCAGCAACAGTTCATCACTCGCATATTTGGCAGCTGCACCGTTGCGGAGGTTGGAAGGCAATAGTGCCTAACTGTGTGGATAAGCTCACATTAACCCGTCAATTTTGAATCCAATTGGGGAATTTTCTTGGGAAGTTTCGGGAAGAAATTGAAATGAAATAATTGGTTCATACTCCCTCTGTTCCTAAATATTTGACTTTCTAGAGATTTCAAATGGACTATCACATATAGATGTATATAGACATATTTTACAGTGCAGATTCACTCATTTTGCTCCGTATATAGTCACTTGTTGAAATATCTAGAAAAACAAATATTTAAAAATGGAGAAAGTACAAAGCAAAAGGTCAATTGTTTCCGCCGGTTGAAATGAACCTCCCATCCATGGCTACACTAGTGGGAGTCCAGAGCCTAGAGGTAGAGCATCCACCGATCCATTTAGCTACCCGCGCGGAGCCGCAAGAGCAGAGTGACACAAAGCAAAGCAGAGCACAGAGGTGCGATAGCAGAGTGAGAGGGGTTGGTCGATTGACGTACCACCGCCTGTTCCGCGCCAACGTACACACACATCACAGCCCTCGAAACCTGCCCTATTAAGTACCTAACTTGACGAGCGAGGATGACGGCGGGCGAGTGGCTGAGGAAGTGCCCTCGCGTCGCCGCCGTTCCTTTTTTTAGCAACGTCGAGGTTCTTGCTTAGGGATGGCACCCTCAGGGTATGGGTACGGGTGGAGCCTCCTCATACCCCTACCCGTCCATCCTTAACTTAAGGGTATGACTTTTTTTCATACCCGTCACCAGCAGGGTATATGGGTATCCGCGGGTAAAAATACCTGCATTTACAACACATCAAATTAAATGGAAAATAGTTGTGAAAAGCACCATATAATCATAAATTATTAATAGCAACACATTTAAAGAACAATGTACAAAAACACATTCTCAAAAAAAAAAACTTGCCCATAAAGCAACCCATAAAAATGTTAAACAAAAAACATAATCATAAATAACAACACATAGTCATACACTTTAAGTTCATAAAATCATTATAAATTATAGAGATAATTTGACTGCACATTAGAGTTTGTACCTAGTGTGATTAGGAGGGGAAAGTTAATACTTTAGAATAATAAAGCAAACCCACTTGTCAACATCTTAGATGGGTACATGGGTACGCGGGCATGGGTTATACGATCTCATACCTGTACCCTCTCTACCCGACCATCGATAAATTTTTGTCCCATGCCCTTACCCTAATAGGGTTTTTACCCACAGGGTACACGGGTAGTGGGTACCCATTGCCATCCCTATTCTCGCTATGTGGGCACGTATGGAAGATTCATGGAGTCTAGAGACGATCGCGCACCCCCTCTCACTCCGCGGCGTCTATTTCTCACCTTCACCGAGAGGACTGGACCGGCCCATTAGCATATCTATTTAAAAGAAGAGAAAAGAAGCAAAAAGGGAGTTTCCATGATTTGAACACTATTCACCTCGCTGGTAGCTAGTGCAGCAA